ATTAAGTTTATATTAATTTTAGTTTTTGAATTTAAGCTCTTTAATAAAATTAAAATTTATTAACAAAAATTAAAAAAAAATTACATTTTTATATAATGACGGTATTTGCATTCAACAATATCGCTAAATGAATAATTTAGTAGCATTTGTATTATAAAATGTTACTAAAAGTAGCAGCGCTTTTACCAGCAAACACTGCTAGTAAGTAACATTTTTTATACAAACACCACTAAAGTAATGACGTTTTTATCATAAAAATGTTACTATATTAGCAGCGTTTGAAAGATACAAACATCGCTAATATGAAGGTGTTTTTAGATACAAACACCTCTAAAGTAGTAGCATTTTCAGTTATAAATGTCACCAAAGCAACGACGTTTTTCTCATAAAAATGTCACTAAATTTACGGCATCTCAAAGATATAAATGCTGTTAATATAAAGGTGTTTTCATATACAAACGCCTTTAAAATAGCAACGTTTTCAATTACAAACACCACCAAAGTAAAGGTATTTTTCTCATAAAAATGTAACTAATTTAGTGGCGTTTCAAAGATAGAAACGCTACTAAAAGGGCGGCATTTTTTCAAAAATATCGTTATTTTTCGTGACGCGTGTATAACCGGCACTTTGAGTGACGCTTTTCACAAATGTCGCTAAACGTTAAAAAAATGCTGTTAAAAACTTAAATCCCTATAATGATACTTGTTTGAAGAGATATAATTGATAAGTGAAAGCAATAGCAATTATGGACCAACTAAGTCTTTTTCTTAGCTCTTCTCTTATTACAGTTCTGAATGGGTAGATACCTTTAATTAAAAGTGAAGAAAGCATCTTAGCCATTTTTATTAAAACATTAAAAGTCTTCCCATGAGAATGTGTAAAGGCTTACACAACCATCAATCCACACTTACTTAATAAAATGTGTGAAATCCACACATTTATGACTACTTTAAATTATTTGGGTTCTCATGTATGTTATGTATTAGAACTAAATTTATTAACCAATTTTATTAAATTATAAAATTATCAATTAATAATAACCCACTTAAAAGATAATTCTAAAAATAATGTCCCTTGAAGTAGTTTGGGTCTGGTGTGGACCAAATCCTGGCAAATATGGTGATTTGGTAATTTAATGTGAGCATCTTGTTTCACCTTTTTTTTTTTTGTTTATCTTTTCAAGGGCATCTAGAATTTTGCTTAATTTTCCCTCCAGTATCTCCTAAGCATTTTTTATCCTTTTGAGATGACTTGCATTATCTTGCTCCATTTTCTTGGCCTAGCTTGAGTATAGTACGATGTGGATCGATCCTTGAACCTTGATTTCTCATAATTATGATGCAATTTTAGAATAATATTTATAGATCTATCAGATTATGCATGAGAATGAATGCAACGATGAATGCATGCATACATAATAAAAAAAGTTAGTAAACATAATATGTAATCTGCATGTATGTTTATGAATATGCATAAAAGAAAAAAGTAAAAAAAAGATAAAAAAATCAATTAGTCACCTCGATAAAAAAGTAAACACTATAACAACATGCCCTTAAATTTTGGGTTAACTATAAAGGGTAGAAATACATGGCTTTATCTATGGTTAGGCTTTTAAAGTTAACTATATGCGATTTGGATTACCTCTAAAATGGTTTTCAAATCGTTCCTTATATCATAGTCCATCACAGACTAGTAAGGCACCCATATCTTCACCCATCATAGGCTACAAGCGAAAATGATTCAATTTGAGTGGGAGTGTTTCATAGGCCTATGCGGAGACATAAAATCTCACGATGACTTAAGTACTTTACTTCTTCATAAAGGTAGAGCTCGGATTGAGAGCTTATGTTATGCATATACAAATGAATGACAAGTATATGTATAACAAATAAACAATTAAGCAGATATAAGCAATGAAGAAAAACAAATGAGTAATTAACCAAGTATAAATAGTAAAAAATAAATAATAAAGCAAGTATAAGTAATGAAAAGGAATAAAATAATTTCAAATTTATTAAGCAAGGTTTGGATAATAAGAAATCATTTATTGGCTTGACTTTCAATGTCACCAGTGGAGTTACCAAACTATTATAACGTACAGGTCCATGGACCTACCGCTAAACATGGATTAGAGGAGTCGCCACCAATCTTTTTTGTTTAGGTGTGATTGGTCACCTGACATAGGTTCTGATTTGCATAACCAATTTTAGGTTCGGGAGTACCATTATGTGTGGAGAAGGTTATAGCACCCCCATAGCACCCATCCAAAGGATGGTACCAATTTAATTTCAAATTATCCAAGCCTTCATCATATCTGTAATTTATCAAATTATTTAATATTACAAATTAATCTTAAAATTGGCTAATATTTTGATAGTAATTTAAGATAATTCTCTCACCTCATGAGTATTCATAGATACTAGTGTCTCATTTTGAATAGGCTTTATTGTCGGATTTATTAATGTATTTTTATTCAAAAAAATTAGCAAAGTCTCCCAATAGTTTGGTAACACTTACTTTGAAACAATCCTCTAATAGTTTAGAGGGTAAGATTTTTTTTTTATCTCATTTTGAAAATTGATTTATGAAATTTCTTAATAGTTTGGTGGATTCCATTTTAAAAATTAAATTCATGAAAATTTCTCAATTGTTTGGTAGAATTCATGAATTTATTTTGTAATAATTTTTATTTGAAAAAGAATTTTTTTTATTAAAAGGATTTTATTTGTTTTTACAAATATTTTTTGAAAACTTAAAAAGATTTTTTTTTGTTTTTTTTATTATTTTGAAAACTTATTTGAAAAGATTTTTTATTTGAAAATGTTTTTTTATATATTTTTTTTAAAACCTATTCATTTTCAAAAATAAAATAACAAAAATAATTTTTACAAAATTTCTCAAAACTAAAACCATAAAAAATAAAAATAAAATGAGCTAAAAAAATAAATAAAATCAAATGAAATCAAAAAATAAAAATAAAATGAAAAAATGAAACTTTACGATCGGGTCGGGTCGGAGCATGAGTTGGCATTCTGGGACAGTATATAAGCTAAGTCCCAGTATTTTTCCTTATAATCCCTTCTGCTCTCTCTCTCTATAGATCGAAAAGCTTTGACTTCTCTCTAAAATTCCCCAAGAATCCACTAAAAACTTCAATCGAAAACTGAAAAACCCATAAGTTTCTGAGGAAGTCGTCGAAAAATTCAATCGAAAACTAGAGAACCCATCGATTTCTAGAAAATTGACTGGAATCTGACCTAAAATTCAACCAATCATCGAAAAACTCAAAAAAATTCATATTCTTCCCAAAAACCTAGATTTTTCCAAAAAATTTCAGAATTTTTAAGTTTTGCTCAAATTATTCCCTGAATCTTCCAGAACCTTAATCTAACCTCTAAAAAAAGTAAATCTAACCCAAAAACTTCAATTCGAATATAGGATTCCCAAAATCAAAATCCCAGAAACCTTTTTACTATCCAGAAATTGTTTCCTAAAACTACAACCAAATCGTACAGTTTTCCATCGTTCCTCTTTAAAATCATCGTGTCCTATTCTATGATTTCTTATTCAATTTATAGGTACTCTTAAGAGGATTTTTAAAAAAAACAAACAAAATCAATCCAAATTTGAATCATGGGATTGGTTTTATCCGAGTGTGATCTTGGGTCTCAGATTTGATCCAGTTAATTCCAGCATTTACACCAATTCGCTTTGCATTAAAGATTTGTGATTCTGGTCAAATTCAAATTTTCATATCCCAGGGCAAATTCGAACAAAATGGAAAAAAATGTAAATAATAATAATAATAATAATAATAGTAATATGATATAATATACTAATAATGATAAATAAAAATATAATAGTATTAATATGATATGATATATTATACTATATAATATGATATGATAATACTAATAATAATAATCATATACTATTATACTACAATAATATATACAAAAGAGACTAGTCTTGATTAAGTCCAGACACAAATGGATGTTTATAATAATTATATAAAAATTTAAATTCACACATTTTCAAATAAAATAATAATGAGTAAAATACTTAAATTTTCTTAAATTTTATAACTATTTGAAATCATAATAATTTTATAAAAATAAAAATATGATTTAAATATGTTTAATAGTATTTATATATGATTTTCATTTATTCTAAATTTTTTATAATTCTTGAATTTAATTCTCAAGTTAAAAAAATATATGCAAATATTATTTTCAAAAGTTTATCCATTATTATTACATTTAAATTTATTAATTTATTATAATATATAATTATTTATTAATTTATTTATTTAGGGCAATCAAAGATATATACATTAGAATCATTTTGTCAATACTTATCTGAATTTAAAATTTGAGAGAGGAGATAACTTTAAAATTTGATTTTAAAAATAATAATGTTAGTGCTTTGCAGTGCACAGTATAACAAATTTACATAAATGTACCAATGAAAAAAATATTAGGGCCACGCATACATGATAGGGTTGAGAAAAAAATTAAAAATCAAATGAAACTGTAATGTTTGGTTTGAATTTTATTATATATATTCTGTTTTATAGAAATGTACGTTCAATTCAGTTTGGTTTTCAAATCAAATTGTATTTTATTACCTTTTATATTATTTTTATTTATAAATTTAAATAAGAACATTAAATAGTGTTTAAAAAATAAAAAAAATTTAAATTTTAAAAATAAATAAATCAAATCCATAGAATGCAGTTTGAATAGATTCATGCACCAGTGGCAAGAATATGTCAGCGATCTCAACCATCAAAACAGCATGAAACTGCGTTTGGATTCGAAGTGAATTATCGATTATAGCTTAGCTTCCTGGTCAACCTCCTCTAAAATTGCCATCCTCTATACGTGTCAATCAACGAAAACGTTTTCGAAACTATAAATTGGAAACATATCTTGATAATGAATAATTCACTCTAATTTCTATTTTTTACAGCTTTTAGATTCCAAAACAAACATCAAACATGTCGGATAACTCTTCTCAAAGCATGAGCTACCAGGCTGGTGAAGCCAAGGGCCAAGCTCAGGTCAATTTTTCTTTATAATTTGCTATATAATATAATAAATATATTTTTCTGTCATACCAATTTAGTAGGTTTGAAATTTTGAGTATTAAGTTTGTTTATTTTATGTTTAACACGTATAATTAAAATATGAAAATTGATATATTATAATTGTATCGATATGTTAAATATAAAATATTTTTTTAAAATTTTTATTAAATTTATAAATAATTTTTACTAAAAATTTAAATCATATCGTTTTTGCATCATTTTAATATGATATTATCTTATCGTGTTTAAAATTGACAAATTTACAATTTAAATATATATACATTTTTAATTTCATGTTTATTATTTCAGGAAAAGGGTAGCAGCATGATGGACAGGGCTGCTAATGCTGCTCAATCTGCTAAGGAATCAATGCAGGAGGTTCCCAAAAATTTGCTCCAAATCATACTTATTAGGCATTGGTACCTTTACTTTTTGAAAGTAACTTCTCCTTTGGTTAATTATATTATTATGTATTGACAGACTGGGCAGCAGATGATGGAGAAGGCACAGGGAGCTAAAGAGGCTGTGAAAAATGCAAGTGGCATGAACAAATGAAGCTGACCGAAACTGTCTATCGATTTTACATGTTCTCTTTCCTTGTTTAATTACTGTTTTGTTGGAGCTTTTATGAGATGCTCTTTTAGTTTTTCCTACGAACAAATAGGAGACCTCCTGTATGCAGTTATCAGAAGTTGCTCCTCTAGGTTTTTCTTTAATGCAATTCTAATATGTTTTTCATTCTTACATAATATTGTTCAACGAGTTATGGATGATGCGTGATTTTTTTTTTTTTTAGGAAATTACTAAAAACAACTGTTCAACTACGAAAAATTACTTGATGAAAATTTTTCGTCATTAAAAGTCATTTTTAGCGACAGAATTAAATTAGCAATGCAATTCGATTGGTAAAGAAAATACAATCTTAAATAAGTACTACATTCATATGAAAATTTATTAAATTAAATCATAGAAACAAGTTAATCATCGAACCAACAAATAATTGAATAAATTCAACATAAAATTAGACCACAATGATTGTTAGATTTGTTCAAGAATTTGATTAATTTTTCAAATCCGAAGATCCACTCAAGTTTTGAAAAAATTTAGATAAAAAATTAAAATTCATTAATTGGACTTGTATATAATTTTTAAATCTATTTAAATTTTGAATCGGATTTTGCACAAAAAAAAAATTAAAGCTCAAGTCTGAAATATCTAACCATAAACATATAAACTATTAATATTAAATATAGACTCAACTTAAATTCGATCTAACTCAACCCATGAACACCTCTAATGATTTTGTGGTGGTAAGACTTGAAAGATGAAAACCAAAACTAAAATATAATATAATGGTTTTTTGCCTTTAGTTGAATCAATTAATGCTAATAATTTTAGTGACTCATTTCATAATAATAATTTTTTTTGCACTATTAATTTTATTCACTGTTTTAATTTTTGGGACAGCATTAATTATTACTTTAGTTTGTTTAAATTAATATTCTAATTAATTGCTAGAAAACCAATATAGTACTGTTAATGAAATTTTTTAATATCCTTAAATATTAAATCTTAAACTTTTCATTTTTTGATGGATTTTTTTTTCTAAATGAAAATGGATATCATCTGGAACAAACCATCTTGTAGATTTCTTAAGCATACTCGCATTGCCTTAATAGCTATTAGTACTGTCTCTTTCTCTTCCTTTTCTTTTTCGTAATACAGTTTCTTCCTTAAAGGTTTATATTTTCAAATTGGTCAAGTTTTGGGAGACGTTTTGAAACCTAGCTATTAGGGTTATGCTGCTGTGGGTTTTCAAATCCTGTTATTCCTTTTGCTTTTAATTTGGTGTCTCAAATTCTTGGATATAATAAGGTTTGGGTACTAATATATTATCGGTTGTTTAATATGTCGTGCGTCAAACACTGAATAAAAAATTTTAAATTTTTGTTAATAGATTTAATGTTTGTATTAATTTTTTAAAATAATTATATTCGAATAAAAATATATGTTTATAATAGTTATGCATAATCCATAATTTTAACATAATTTGTTAAAATTATGTTCGATAATTTTAGAGTAAATTCTCTATAATGTAAAAGCCATAATCCATAGTAATACTTAACTGAAATTATGTACATGAATAATGTTGATTTATCTTTATGGCTTGTGTTGTGAATATATTTGCTATTTAAGTTGGATTTTAATTTAATCTGTGATAATAATTTTGAAAAGTATAATAAATTTGATATATGTGCATTAGTTTAGATACCAAGAATCATGAATTTAAAAATATTTAGCTTTAAAATTTTTTAAATATTTAAGTTTTCTATATTTATATTTAAATTTTTTTATATATACCAAGAATCATTTAAAATTTGGTATCTATACATTATATTAGAGTAGTCCCCTAAAAATTTTGTTTGCAATTTTAAGCCAAATCATATTTGGCTTTAATTATGATTTAAGTGGTAATTTTGGAAATTAATTTTAAATGTTAGGTTAGTTACAGTAGGAACTTAAGGATGAAAGGGTTAAAAAGGTCTTTTAAATATATATATATATATATATATTAAAGCTATCCCGTTTATCATTTAAAGTCATTTGTAAAATTGAAACATAATTAAAAAATAAATGTGTTGTGGCATCCGTATTCTATATTCTACTATCTATACAACAAATAAAAGCTATCTCTTTTTGTAAGGGTGATCATAATTTAGTTTTAATCGAATTAATCGATAAAATTCATTTAATTTTGTTAATAAGTTTATTATCAAATTAATTTTGATGGGTTAACGAAAATTATTTTAAAAAATTTTGATTTTTTATTAATTTCATTCGAAAGTCAAATTAATTAAATTAATTAAAATTTTAATTAAAATATAATAAAATCTAAATATGAAATAAAATATATATATAATAAATCATTTTATTTCATAAGTTATTAGAGTTTTTAACATAATACACTGATATTTGAATATTTTGTTAGATAATTTTATTTAATTTGTTTAAAATATGAGAAATTAAGAATTTAAAATATAATTTAATTTAAATGTATTTATTATTCAATTAACCAAAAAAATTAATTGAACCAATCAAAAAAATTAAATTTGGTCAATTAATTTTTGAAATTAATAATTTTGATTCGATTAATAAAAATAAAATAATATAATTCAATTAATTCAATTTTTGATAATTCGTTTTAAAATTAATAGAATCTAACGGACACTCTTATCATTTTCAATTTCTATTCAAATCCATGTTAAATCATAAATTTTACTATTCATTTCAAATGTCAAATCAACTCATTTTATTAGCACATCAACTTTATTAAATATTATTATATTTAATTATAAAATGGTTATCCCTTCAATTCTAAAACCTCTTTTATATAATTGGGAAGCCTGCATATATTTATTATAATTCGACCTTACACTTGTCTTATCTCTTATCTATGAATAAAAAATTTACTTTTGTTTCATTGGTTCAAGAATAATTTCTCAACATTTCTTTCCTTATTCTTTAAGTTTATAATCTATAATTATTTTTGCAAAATCAATAACAATATATAAATTGCCCTTAAATTTCAATTGGCTTCAATTTATTGTTAAGCCATCAATTTTTTATTTATTTAGATGAAATTTATTTTTTTTTTTTTGTTGGATCTTAAATTTCATTAAATTTATAATTGTTACATGTCTAAGGCCTTAGGTTTTTTTAACTATTTACATTGGGTTTCAACTTTGAGTCATGTCATTGATGAAGAGGAATATATAAACATTATGAAAGAAATTATTAGAGTCAGCCCCAAAATTGGAATGAAGGAAAGATCGATAAAATAGGCAACTCATTTACTTTGTATTCATAACTTGTATAATGAATTGCATTGACATCTTTGCCAATAATCAAATACCTTTTTTCTACGCCACTAATTGATGAATGCTGAAAGAATAAATCAACTGTTGCAATCAACTATAATGCAAGACACAACTTGAGAAACCACTAACTCTCAGAGGCCAAAATAAAGCTAGGAAATGACCAAGCAACTTTAAAATTATAAATAATTAACAGTTGTTTAATATTATAAAATAATCATTTTGTCATAGAAAATTTTTAAAAAAGTTTTTGGGTATTATTTTTGGATTAAAATTTTAAAAAATTTTGTAAAATTGATCCATTTGAAGAGAATTAATGAGCTAGGGATTTAAAACCAAAGTTTTATGAGTAATACCCTAACTTTTTTACATTTATTATTTGTATTTAAAAATTTAGACTAAATCCAAAAATTAATTAAATACTTTTAAGCCCTTTTTTTGGTTATTTAATTTTTTTACATAAATTAAATTTGTCAATTACTTTTTAAATAAAAGGGTAAGAATAAAAACTAAATATAATAATTTATTAAATAAATTAAATGATAAAAAAAAACTATTTAGAAAAACTCTTTTTTGTTAAAAGAATTTGATAACATAAAAATTAATATATTTTTATACCATAAATAAAAATGTATGTTAAGATATAAAATAAAATAGAAATATTTTTTAAAAATGCAAATAAAATAATTTTTCAAATGCATTTTTGTAATGTAATTTATAAATAATTAATTTTCATTTATTTAATTTTGATAATTGATAAAATATAATTATACCAATATCAATACATATATTTAAATATATATAAAATAAAAAACTATTAAATAAATTTTATTTAATATAATTTGATTTAAAATCATATTTTAAAATTAATTAAATAAAAAGATTTATAAAATATTTTTAAGAAACCCTCAATGAAGTGAGAGCATTTTAAAGAAGTTTTGTTTTTGTTTGATATCTGTGTATGCATAAGAATCTATATAAATTTATGCTAAAGAACTAACTTGTGTGATGAAATGCATATATATAAGGCCATGTTAAATTTTAATGCCATGTTAAATTTTAATGCCATGAAATTCTTTGTAATGTCAAGGATATAAGGAATATATCCATTATTGTGATTGTTACAAAACAAAAAATATATGTAAAAGTTACTATTAAGATTTTCAAATCTTTTGAGACGAACATAATGAATAAACAAAATTCACTCAATGATGTTAAATTCATTTCATGCTACCTTGGGCTATTCCATTTCATGGTTTGAGTATAAGATTTGTGAATTATATGGCAATGAATTAAAATAATCATAAGCCTAGAATTGAATATAGAGTACTTGCTAACTTTAGTTATGAACTTTATATAGCTTGTTATATCATGGTAAGGCCATGATTGTTTAAATCAAAATGACGACTTGTCTTAATGGGAAGGAGGCTTTAGAATCTTGAAGTCCTAAGTTCAAATCTTACTGTGTATGGATTGGTTGTCTAATTATGTTTTAATTTGTTAGTTGATTATTTAGTAATTGTAACTTGATTATGATGTAACAGTTGATTATTAGTTAATTATATGATGTAATTCTTAATTATGATTGTAATTTCAAAAAAATCAAAATGAAATCTCGAGAATTGCTTCGAGGCAAAAAAATTTGTGAATTTGTAGATTTTTCTTTGAAAAAAGCATATACATGCGCTTTTCTCATAAAAATATATTTTATTCCATGCTTGCATTTAATTGATCTAGAGAAGAATGC